CTGTGAGACTACTACTTGTTTGCAACAGTTTGTCAAGAATTAATTCAGTGTCTGTGCTACATGTGGCTACCGGGGGGGGGGAAAAAAAACAAAAAAAAAAAAAAAGCCAACGTAGTTTTACCCATTTGGCTTGCATGCAAAACCACAGAGGCAAGCCTTCTAACACATTACCGAAGCAGCCCTCGTCTTCTGGAGCACAACTGCCTATGGCCCAGGGAGTGTCCCTTTACATGCTGGCTGACCTTCATGTCTGTATAAAAAACCTCAGTTAAAATCTCCCTGAGTGCCTTCAGGTATCCTCCTCAACTGTCAACACTCTTGCTGATAGCTCTTCAGGCAAGTACTTTGTTGGATGCTTAAAAAAAACCAGAAGGAATAGGAGGCAAGAGAGGATTTTCCTGAGGACAGACAAAGAAATTAGAAATCCTAGAAACCCTGTTGCCAGGCGCAAAATTAGTAAAGAAAGCCTTATCTATCTGGGTAGCCTCAGCTACTCTGTGCTGTGGTGCAAAGTCCTGCCATGTATCAGAATCATAGAATAATAGCATATGCTTACTTGGAAGAGACCCATCATGATCATCAAGTCCGACTCCTGGCCCTGCACAGGATGTACCAAGGATCCCATGATGTGCCTGAGAACAATGTCCAAACACTTCTTGAACTCAGGTGCTTGGTGCTGTGACCGCTGTCCTGCGGAACCTGTTCCAGTGCTCAACTGCTCTTTGGGTGAAAAACCTTTCCCCAATACCCAACCTAAACCTCCATGACTCAGCTCCATGCCTTTTCCTCAAATCCTGTCACTGGTCACGAGAGTGAAGTGATTGGCACCTGCCCCTCTGCTTCCCCTCACAAGAATGTTGAAGACTGCAGTGAGGTCTCCCTTCAGTCTCCTCCTGGCTGAACAAAGTGTCCTGAGCTGTACCTCATAAGCTTCCCCCACAGACCCTTCTCTACCCTTGTGGCCTCCTTTGGATGGTCTCTAGTAGCTTAAAGTCTTTATATTGTGGTGCCCAAAACTGCACACAATACTCAAGGTGGGGCTGCACCAGTGCAGAGTAAAGCAGGGCAATCACCTCCCTTGACTGGCTGGCGATGTTTTGCTTGATGCACCCTGGCTGCCTGGGCATATTGTTGACTCAATAGGAGCAGCTTGTACCTCAGTCTTTCCTGGCAGTCTCTAAAGCACATACATAATGCTGCTGATAAGATGTAAAGTAAACAGCCCCTGTGCTGCTGCCTTGCCTTGTGCCCATCTCTCTCACAAGCAAAGAGGAGAAAATTTACAGGAGTGATTAAAATAAGAACCTACAGGAGTGATTAAAATAAGAACCTACTGGCTTGTGTTCTGTGTTCCACAGCACTGAAGGGCAGTGAAGGTGTCAGCAGAGTGGGATCATTGATCTTTGTGGTCTCATGTGGCTTTGAGTCCTCTGTCTCATGGCTTACATGAATAGAAGTCCAGTCCATTTCACTGCGGAAAGCAGCTGCAGAACTGCTGATGAAACAAGGGGAAATAATCTAATTCGTGTCCTTTAACTTGATTGCTTTAATGCCTGTTTGAGTACTTTTGCAGCCTACAGGAAAGTAAAATCTTTGATTTGGTTCCTGTTCTGGTTTTGGCACAGATCAGTGAGAGGGGGCATGGCCAATACCCTAATATTATTTGATACCACCTCACATCATTGCTGGGGGCAGAGAAAGGAACTCTCACTTCTGAGGAGAAGGGGTTCCATCCAGTGGGGGAAAGCATGGTTGGGAAGAGCCAGTGAGTATTGTCGGACTTTCTGTGCAAATAATTTCTCTGTCTTGTACCTTTTGTTATTAATATTGTTGCTGTTGCTGTTACTGTTCCTTATCTCATTCCTGTTTCTTATCTCCACTTGTGACCTTTGCCTTTTGTTCTTCCAATTGAAGGAAGGCAGAGGAGCAAGCAGCAAAGTTTTAGCGGGAGAACTAAATTGGGAAATACTCTTCCAAAACCATGACAGTTCCATTACTTTTCTGACTACACTGAACAGCTACAACCCCTAAGGTCTGGGTCTCTCTTGCCACTGCCAGATCCACTGTCCTGCAAGCTAATTAAGCTTCACTTGAGACAAGGAGAGACAATATCCATCATGGATATATCTGGATCAGAAAAATGGGCTCACAGTGCACCACTTAAATGTCTTTGAATCAAAATATAGTGTAATGTACTATTAAAACTACTTATTTTGTCTATGTTCTTGCCTCTGAAAAAATTCAGACTTAAGGTAGTAGAGCAGCTCTGTTATAAGGTTCTCCTCCTTTCTTCTCTTGAAAAAGTATTTTTGCTTTCCTTTCACAAATAATTTTTCTTCTGAGCTGCTCATGCCTTAAATCGCTTCTGTCATTCAAGCATGTGCACACTAACCATTGCCTTAACTAGCTGGTGAAAAGGGACTTAGAGAATCTCTGATCCAACATCTTTGTACTAGTCTGTACAGTACAGACTCTTATAGATAACCTGTTCTAGCACTGCACCAACGTCTTAGTGAAAAAGTTTTTAATAGCACTCAGCCTGAACAACCCAAGATGAAATTTATGGCCATCATAATTTCTTGTATCACCTGCCATTTGGGTTTATCACCTTTGCAGCTCACCTTTAAGTAGCTGTAGGGTGGTAGTAGATGGTCTCTCAAACAAGCCCAGGTCTGATAATCAATTTGTAGGTCATGTGCTACCATCTTGGTAGCCCTCCACTGGACCCTTTCTTGTTCCTCCATATCCCTCTTGAACTTCAGGGGCAGGAAACTGCACACAGCAGTCCAGGCCATTCCACTGCTAAGCAGACATGAATAACTTCTTTCAGTCTCTGGCCATGTTCTTCCTAATACAGTGTGGTGTGTGGGTTGTTTTATTCACAATCACATCTTACTGGTATCCATGGCAACTTCCAGGTCCTTCCAGCAGGACTGCTTCTCATCCACTCAGTCCTCAGCCAGGAAAGATGCATGGGGTCACTGTGCCCTGTTTCAGAACACAATGGTCCTTCCTAAACATCATAAGGCACCTGTTAACCCAGTTCTTTCATTTCTCAAAGTCCCTCTGGACTGAAGCTGTGTTGTTCAGCATGTTCATTGCTCACCCTGAATTTTAATCATCATAAATTTCTTAGTTCCCTTTTCCTGTAGAACGACTTACAATTATTCTCACCAAAGATATAGTCTACCCATGGAGCTGTATGACTGTATTTAATCAGACAGACAAGTAAACAGCTCTGACCTTCCTGCTGTGACCCACACTGAGGGTAAAATACAAGGGCAGCTTTGAATTCTTTACTCATAGGAACAAAAAGATAAAACTATCTGAGCCAGAAGTGGCCAGGTATCCCAGGGACTGAAACACAAAACTATGGGTAGCTGCTATGGATGTCAAACCCCTGAACCTTCTTTGGCAATGAGCAGCCAGAGCTGTTTAGGGCACTAGCACTCATGCTAGGAAATGGAAGAGGTTTTTATTTGGTTTTCCATAAATATAGACATCAACTTCTGCTGGGTTGTTTGCATTAGGTTAATATTTCTGTAGGGTACAGGTGTTACTATTAGCTGTGAATGTCTGCTGTCTGTCTCTAGCCCTGTAAAGAGCAGAGTGTGGTGCTGTAAATATTAGCCCAGGCAGAGAAGTGTTTGCTCAGCCTTCCTCTGTGCTACCTCCCCCAGTAGTTCTCTGATAGTACTCGTGACAAATGGCCAAGACTCGGCATCTTTTGCACCTCCCAGTAATGTGCTCTGGTTTTGACTCAAGAAAGGTTGTAGTGGTCAAATCCTGAAAAAAAGCAGCAGAAGCACCAGCATGCTGTAATCTTCATAAGATTAATACTATACAAAATAAGGTACAACTAAGTAACTCAGAACTTACAGCAAATAAAATACTTTCTTGGTAAAACCCACTCTTCACTGGCTGTGGCAGTCATGGCTGTCGAGATGAAATGTCTAGCATATCACAGGAACTGCTACTTGCTTTAATACGGTGATAGACAGTAAATTCCACACAGAAGAATTCTCTCACAGCAGTTCCTTGCAGTAAGCAGGAGAACTTTCTTAAAAACTCTAGAACAGGAGGACACCATTGAATTAGATATTCATATATGTTAGATACTTAATGTATTTGCACAGTTATTACCCTTTCTGTTGGGGTTTTCAGGCAGATGGGGTAAGTCTTTATGCGAACAACTCACTTACAAAAACATTTGCCCTATTTTCATATACTAATGTTTGATGTGCATGTGTTGGACTGTAACTTTTGCACACTGGTTAATTTGATTTTAGGATGCAAATTAAAACTAAGTATCTGTTCAAAAGAAGCGCAGCTGCCTAAATGCCATATGGACTCTCAGAAATGCCATCTTTTGTGTGGCTGCAGACAAGCAGCTCAATGAAGACAGAGCCAGCACCAGGTAAGAAACTGAAATAACAGCCTTCACAACAAAGCCAAAAGGAAGAAGTCATAAGCTCAGTTATCCCATCCACAGACCCAAGAATCACTTGGGGAATCTACTTGAAAGCCTGTCTGCCTCTGTATCCTCCAAGAACAATCCCTCTAGAGTGAAGGAGACTCTCCTAAGTTGGAGACTTACTGTCCTTTACCCAAATACGCCCCCGAGGTTGCGCAGTGACAGCTCTGCTCTCGGTACTGAAGTGTGCTATGAATCAATAAACAAACCCCTTCCGCAGCCCCTTCCAAAACGCCCCTTTTGAAGCGGCCGTACACTGCCCGGCCCCAGGCCCAGCGGCTTCCCGGTCGCCCCGAGGACAGCGGCCGCTGGTGACCCGCGTCACTCGCCCCATCGCACACCAGCTCGACGCGTGCCGGGCCGCTCGGCCCGCTGCGGCCGCCCCGGGCGGGCCGCGGTCCCGCGGAGGGTTGGGTCGGGCCGGGGGCGGTGCTCGCTGCCCGCACCTCGACGGGGCGGGCCGGGCTCAGCAGCCCCGGGGCGGGGCCGCGCGCAGTGTGCGAGCTGCAGCCCCGGCGCTCGGAGCCACTGACCGCCAGCATGGGGCCGGCGCTGCTCCTGGGGCTGCTTCTCTCCCGAGCCGGTAACAGCGCCCGGGGCGCGGGGCGGGCTGGGCAGCGCGGCACGACCCCGTCCCTCTCCCGGCGGGGAGACAGCGGCATCGCTCTCACCCCGGTCCCGCCGCGGGTTGCAGGGGCGGCGCCGGGGCCGCGGTCGCTAGGGCTGAGCGCTGCTCCCCCGGTGCCGGGCGGGCGCGGAGCGCGTCCCGAGCGCGGCGCTCCCAAAAGCCGCGCGGCTCTCCCGGCCGTCGGCTCCAGCCGCCCCGCGCGCCGGCGGCGGGTGGGAATTCGCGATTCAAACCGGGAAAGGCCGCTGCTGCTTTGGCCCGAAAGGGGAGCCTTCGGTGTGGTTGTGGTCAAACTGGAGGGACGCTCTGGGGAGGGGACCGTCTGCCCTGGAGGCAAGGCGTGAGAAGGCGAGAGGAGATGCCGGGAGCCGATCCCTGAGTGCGGCCGGATGGGCACAACGCGGAGATTCATTCGCCTGAGCTGGTCCCGGCTGCGCCGCGCTCTCGCTGGCTTCGCCCAGAGCGGTTTTTGATACCTACCCCCCATTTATTCGCCCTCTGGAATGCTTAAGGCCCATAGTTTTGCGAGACTAGGCTCGGTTTGCGAAGACAAATCCGAAGAACTCCTGCAGAGATGCAGTTGATTGTTCTACTCTGTCTCCAACTACTGCCAAATGACAAGAGCTGAGGATTGAAATGATTCCTTTACCCAGTTCATCTCTTGTTCAATCTTCAGGGTTGATGTGACTAGGAATAAAGAAATTAGAAACTTCTCTGAAGCATTCCTAGTTTCTATCTAGGGCTGCTTTGCACTTAGAAAAAGCTGCAGTTTTTTGACTGCTAAAAGATGGGCTGCTGCACTTACACCACAGTAGCCACTGGCAGCCACACGATTGCAAAAGATTTCCCACAATTTGCCATGTCCAAATGCCAATGCTTCTTTGGTAACTGTGTTTGATAAACGAAGGGTTCCCTTCTGTAACTGTCATCTCTTTTAATGCACCAGGGGAAACAAGATAGACATATCTATATGACAGGACATTGAAAAGGGAGAATAAAGGTGTATTTTATTACCTATCAATTTTTTTCTAAGTTATAAATAATCATAATGTGTTAATTGGTTATTACATTTTAACTTTTTTTTTTTTTTTTTAAACTACAGATGGGATTCCCATACACATACATCTTTAAAATGTTCTGCAACCTAGACCACAGATCTAGGAAATAATTAGTTTTCTCATTCTTTCGCATTGTTACTAGACTACTAAGACAAGATTTAAGAAAAAATTAAACAACCTGCCAAACTTCAGGGCTTATAACAATGTACAGATAGTAAATGATGTGTATAGAGGAGGACTGTTTTAAAGCTGAGGTTTAGAGCAGCTTCACCTGAACCCACTGTGCTGGATACAAAGGCATCCTGATGAGAGATTTTTCAGAGAGTTTGAAAAGTCATCAAGTCTCTATGTAAGAGCCAGATGAATTACAAAGTACAGTAGGTTGCTGGAAGAAGAAAGAAACTTGTACAAGTGAGACAGTGGTACCTAGATAATATTACTGAGCTGTAGGGAGAGTAGAAACTTTAAGAAGCAGGCTGTTTGCAGCAAATAAACTGATGAAGCTAGCAAAAATGAAGTAAGTGGGAGAACAAATTACATGGGGAAGATGGTACACTGGGAAATATGAGTTGTACCAAGATCTCCTCCTAATTTATAATGATGGCAGACTGAAATAGTATTACTGCACCTGCTGAACAAGAGAATGATAAGTAACATCATGTACCCAAAGAACACTAAAGGTAGATGTAAGGCTCAGCACAGTCATTTCCAAAAGCTAGCCAAGGAATTGACCTGAAGGGAAGAAACATACCAGCCTACATATAAATTTTATTAGGAAACTGTCTTGTTTCAAGACTTCATTGTAATTGTACTGTAAACATAGATTCATATATTGCAGAAATGAAGAAAGATTACGGAATGAATTAATCTACCTATGACAACATAATCATAAAATTACAGAAAGACTTGGGCAGGAAGGGACCTTAAAGACCATCTTGGTCTACCCCACTGCCGTGGACAAGGACACCTTCCACTAGACCAGATTGCCCCAAGTCTCATCCAACCTGGCCTTGGACAATTCCAAGGATGGGGCAGCCACAGCTCTGGACAACATGTGCCAGGCCCTGATCACCCTTTGAGTAAATAACTTCTTCCTAACATCTAATCAAAATCTTGTGTTTTTATTTTAAAACTGTTCCCCCTTGTCCTATGACTATCTGCCTGTATAAAAAGTTGCTATCCCTCCTTTTTTATAAGTCCCTTTAAGTACTGAAAGGGGATCCAGTGGAGGTCTCCCTGGAGCCTTTTTCATAGCACGAGGTGCTCCAACCCTCGGAGCATCTTTGGGCCTCCTCTGGACCCGTGCTAACAGTTTAATGTCCTTCCTGTGCTGAGGGCCCCAGGGCTGGATGCAGCACTGCAGGTGGGGTCTCATGAGGGCAGAACCTACTCTCAATCTGCTGGCCATGCTGATTTTGATGCAGCTCAGGATATATTTGCTTTTTGGGCTGCAAGTGCACATGACCATCTCACCACTGAGAATCCCCGAGTCTTCCTCTGGAGGGCTGCTCTCAATTGGTTCATCTCCCAGTCTGGACTTGGGTCTGGGATTGCCCAGGTGTACTTGGACTGGTTGAACTTCATGAGGTTCTTATGGGCCAAGACTTCATCTGCATTTTTGGCAGGGATATTAGGGACTGGGCTCTATGTACTTTAATTGACTGCATATCAGCCCATCTGTATGAAGCTACTTGCATCCTTTGCTAAGGATTCATTTTATTATGCGAAGAATACACATTCTTAAGTCTTCAGGCTCATTAAAGTAGTTGTTTTTATACCCTATAAATGGTTTTCTCAGTACATCTCTGAATGACCAGCATATACTTTAGTAATTGCAGCAGTACTGACTCACAGTACATAGTATGGTGTTACTATGTGCTTATTGCACTGTGGTTTTCAGTGCCCAGGTAGAAGAGCTTCTTCAAAACAGGCCTCAGCAACCCCAAGGTTTCATAAGGATTTACTAGTCCCCAAAATACAGAGCAATCCCTGATCCCGGCCAAGTTGAACAAAATTATTATGGATGCTTTTATTTAAGCTTTTGTTCCCTCTTTCATTTATATTCATCTTTTTTTTTTTTTTTTTTCTAAATGGAGACAGCTCTTGTCCCTTAACTACTCTTCATGAACGATCCTAACAAGTTCTGTTTCTTTCAAGGAGTCCTTTTTGAAGACAGAATTCCTGCAGAACAAGGACAAGATGTTTGTGGCATTCATTTTGACTGGGGTCCTAACAGTCTTTTCTGTGCTTGATCAGGAGACCTCATGGCTCTGCCCAGCAGTGACTGTGTCATGGCAGAGCAGCTATGCCTCTCTGACTCCACCTGCAATGCCACATACAGGACCCTGGAAAACTGTGCCCTGGCCAAGACTCACCTCCTTTCACTGGATCACAATAGCAGGGTCAGATGTCTGAATGCAGAGCTTGACCTTGGGAACAGCTCTTTGCTGCACTGCAAGTGTCACCGGCGCATGAAGAGACAGGAGCACTGCTTACGCATTTTCTGGACTGTTCACTCCAGCATGACAGATGGTGAGATGAAGTAATATAAATTTACAAGTACTAGTAAGGCTTACCCCCACCCCCTAGGTGAAAACAACCGTGAAAGTCCACTTCTCAGCACTGTAACTAATTGCTCCAGAACCATATCTCCTAGTAAAGAGAATTCATTACTATGCTGTTTGATAAGCAGAGAAAACTGATCTGGTATGGGACCAGCCCTTCAAATACGCCAGCAAACCTAAGAGACAAAGATAGCTACTCTGAGATAGTTAAATTTAGTGCTGCGAAAAATACCTCAAAATAGTCCTGTCTGTCCATCACTGAAAACACACGTGATTATGACACATATTGCCATAGCATCCCTAAGTATTCTGCTGCCTTCTTTTGTTGGATGCTTCTACTTGACCTCCCACTAGAGCCTGCCTGTGCTGCTCAACTCCTCACACTTACTGAAACTGAAAAATCCAAATGACTAGATAGACCAAACTCCAGCTGGACAAAATGTAATGAGGGTTTAATACAGTAATAGCTTTGCAGTTCCATTCTTGGCACTTGGCTTTGAGTGAGACAGAGCATTTCTGAACTCCAGCCGGAGGAAAGAACCAGGCATAAATAAGAAGAATATCCATTTAAGAATAAATAAACAAACAAAGAAATAACTAAAACTGGTCATAAAGCATTTCTCCCATCTCCCACTGCATTAAATAGCTTGTATCTTGCCTAGGTTATCTCAATTTGGAGACCTCTCCCTATGAGAATCCAGCAAATGAAGAACACTGGAAGACAGATTATAATAAACTGGCAGCTCTGGTGTCAGGTAAGAATTGTAATGGTTACATGATATAATGCTGCCCTCTCTTATCTTTTCATGGGTTGAAGATTATTAAGAACAATTTGGGGTGATGGCCCCTTTAATCGGAGGAATGCCTGCTCTAGCTACTTGCCTAAATTTGTCACTCCTACCAAGTGTAAATAAAGCCACAGATCCAGGCCCATGAAAACAGTAATAACCCACAATGATCCATTTTTCTGAAACAAGCACCCTACTATGAACCAATAAAAAAATACTCTTTTGTAACTAGTATAATTACAGTGTCATACTGCAGGCTCTGTTTGCTCTGTTGTTTTTGATTTTTTGGATCTGACCATCAAGAAAGGAGTACTCCTGCTTCCATACAGAATCTCTTCTGGAGACTTACTTCATGGTTTTTGTGTTTCTTTTGGTTTTATAGGCTCACAGTTAGCGGGAGACGCAACAAATCCATGTCTGAGAGCAACACACATCTGTAACCTGAGCAAGAAGTGTTTTCGTCTGCGCACAGACTATGCCTCCATCTGCACCAAGGGAGCAGGAAGTGAGGATGTGTGTGACCGGCGCAAGTGCCACAGAGGGCTAAGGAATTTCTTTGAAAAAGTTCCTGAGGATTTCACCAAAAGGATCCTGTTCTGTCCATGTCAAGATGAATTTTGTGGAGAAAGACGCCGCAAAACTATTGTTCCTGATTGTTCCTTCCAGTATAACACCAAACCAAATTGCCTCTGGCTTCTGGACTCCTGCTTAGAAGACCATATCTGCAAGTAGGTCAGACAGCAGGAGATGTTATCCAAGAGAACAACATTGACACTGATGGCCTCATTTTCCTTCCTACAGATCCCGACTGGCTGACTTCCAACAAAATTGTCAACCTGTAGACATGTCTCCAGACGGCTGCTCTTTGCACAACCATGCTGCATGCCTGCAGGCTTACATGGGGATGATTGGTAAGTCATATCCACAGGACCATACAGGGTAGATGCTTTCAGGCCACAAACTTTCAGGCACTCTCTGGTGCTGTGAAGGACCATTCTGATCTCCTGCGGGAGGCAGCACTCAGTATACTGGTGAATATGCCTTACTAATGGATGCTAGTGCTCTCCCTTGCCTCGGAGGTAAATGCAATCCAAAGAGAGCTCTTCCATGGCATTTTTTGCTGTACTTTTCCCCCTCCTTGCCTAAGATTTCAGCCTCTTTGCATTATCAGCTGGTGCAAAGCACTCCAAGTGCCTCAGCAACAGTGCTCCGTGGGCTTCTGTGAACTAAGTCGTTGTCATCCCTAATGCTGGAGTTACGTCCCATCACAGCAGTGATTAAACAGAGCATTCCATCACTGCCTGATTTTTAGACTCCTGTTGGCTTGTTAATATTGTGTGCACTATGTTCTCAGAGCCATCCAGAACATGGGACTACCAGCAGTTAGAAGGAAGGTCATGTTTGGTTTTAGTTATTTACTATCTACCAACCTACTAAAACGTTTTCAGTGTAGCTCAAAAGAGGATATAAAGAGCAGCAGTACCTCAGAAGCTGTAAATCTAGACTAGACTTTCAATTTTTCCAGATGGCTCTACTACTTTTGAGCTAAATGAACACTGCCTGAGTGGCACACTACAGGAGTGCAGTATTTGTTTGTCAAAAGACACCTGGCTACACAGTGTTGCCAGTTACACAAGAAGCAAGAGTACCTTTTGCTGCCATATGTCAGCTCAGTCCACGCAAGTCCTTCACATCCTAAACCAAAAATCCTTCACAATTTAATGCTTGCATCATTAATTTGCTTTACTCTCATCAGTTTTCACTGAGCTCTGCAGGTACAGTTTTCACCATTGCTTCTGCTGTGTACACATCACAATTTAATGCTAGCACCAGCTTCAGTTCTCAATACATCTCAGAGTGCCTGTGTCAGGGGTAGCAATCTCAAGACTTTCTCACAGCTCAGCAGACTTCAGGTAGGTTCATCAAGCCTGGGCCATTCCTGACCTCGCCTGGGTAACACGCTTATGACAGTGGAAGGCTTCTGCCTCCAGGACAGCATTTCCTTCAGTATAACGTGATTCATAATGCTTCTTTCATCTGGGGGTTTGGGACAGGCACACCCATGACACCCAACTATGTCAGTAACTCCAGCGTGGAAGTTTCCCTGTGGTGTACATGTGAGAACAGCGGCAACCAGAAGGAGAAATGTGACCAGATACTCGGCATGTTTGAGAGCAACAAATGTCTTGGTAAGCATCAGTCACATCACAGAGAAACAGCTCATCAGAGAGCAATTTAAATCCTGTGGTTTCAAGACTCTGTGTTGCACTGCTCTTATGTATAGTTCTATCTTCTGCAATGTCTCCATGATCTCCTTTGCAACCTATGGGACCAGCCTGGATCTGCTCTAAGAAATGTTTCTGTACCTTTTGGCAACATTTCTGTTCATCTTGAACACCCTTGAAGCTATTTCCAAACACCATTCAAATGAAAGACACTGCAAAAACATCACCAAGGGGAGGTGAGACATGCTGTATCCATAGGTTGCGAAGTAACCACATCTGTGCACCAGGATTATGGGGTCAGGATTCCCCTCCTCGTCCTCTGTTTCTGTACTCACCCCTGGCCCTCATTTACTCAGTCACGATAAGTAGCTCCTGATGCAGCCTGTTACTAGATTCAGCATAGCAGTTGCAAAAGTCCTGTTATATGCAACTGTGTAATCCCAAGTCTGTATTTCTTTTATTTCCCTAGCATTTTAGCAACATACCTTAATGAGATTTAAATATTTTATGTTTGTGAAAGCTTTAAAAGGATATAAAAGAAAACAGCATCATTACATAAATGATTAATATTTAAATCTGCCTCCTGCAGTATATAAAAGCCTTACACCCAGCGCTATAGACACATCTACAATTTAATCATCTCATCCGAGATACTACAAACCTGCTCCTTACAAATTACAGAGTTGGGAAAGTCACAGAGGGGCCCAAAAGTCTTCAAGTACACGTCAAACTGTTTTTTCAGTCTGCTCAATCTCACAAGTAAACCCACAAACTGACAGACCATTCATAAAATAGAGCATACGTATTTTCTAAATCAAGGCCACACAGCCTGTGAGTGCCTTTCCTGAAATAGCTTCTCTAGACTTCTGCTCACTAGACTCCAAGGTGTGCACAAGAGTACAGTTAGACTCTTAATTTACTTCTGTTTGCAGAAAATACCATTTGGTCTCAAATGCATCTGAAGCAGACAGCTCTAGAAAGACAGGAAGACTTACTTTATTCATCTTCCCTAAGCTTCCAAGGAGACAGTGCCAGCACATCTCTCTCTTCAGCAATGTCCCAGGTACGCAATGCTTTGTTGTCTTCACAAAGCAGCAAGTCAAGTAGCCTAGAGACAGTAGGTGAAAAACCTTGGATGTGGAAATATGTGACTTTGGATATCAAACCAAGGGATGCCATGTGCATGCAGAACACTGGACTACTCTACCTTAAGTTAGTCCTTCCACAGACAAGCAAAAATAGGAGGCTGTATGTCTGGCCACAGGAGTTTCAATAGTCTCACATTAGTGCTCGCAACCAAAGGTTCTACAGCCAGAATTTTGAGCATAAATGTGTCTAACTGGGATTCATCCCTCCTTTTTATTTCCTAGGTGGCTGAAGGGAAGACACAGCGAGACAGCTCCAAACAGAGCGCTATGCCTATGGCCTCCTCTGTATTTTCTGGAGCTGCTACTTCCTGGCCTTCTCTGGCTCTGTTCCTGCCCCTGTTGCTTAGCCCACATTAATGTGGCATAAATAGAATCTTTCCTTCTCATATTATTAATATTGTTCCATATCCAGGCATGTCCCAATACAGATTTACCTTTGGGAAACAGAAGGCTTTCAGACAAGAGGAATGGCCTTAACCCAGAATGGCAATCACTGGAAACCTCCCACATACTTGCACCCCACTTTCCCCCTGTCAGTTTGCACTTAGCTCTGCAGGTAGAGTTCTCACCATTGCTTCTGCTGTGTACACATTCTGAGTAACAGGCTAATGTTCCAGCTTAATAGGTTAAATCAAAGGTCTGATTTCTTTCAGAATTTGTGCAGAGTTTGGATTTCTGACTGTAGGGATGATCTGACAGTGTCTCTGACCACCCCACCCTCTGAAGCTCCACGTCAGGCATACAATCATTGAATGATTTGGGTTTGAAGGGACCTTAAAAAATCATTCACCTCCAACCCCCATGCCATGGGCAGGGACCACCTTCCTCTAGACCACGTTACTGCAAACTCCATTCAACCTGGCCTTGAACGCTTGAAGGGATGGGGCAAGCACAGATTCCCTGAACAATCTGTGCCAGTGCATCACCACCCTCACAGGGAATAATTTTTTCCTAATAGTCAATCTAAACATACCCTCTTTCAGTTTAAAAACATCGTTCCATATCCTGTCCCTAGAGACCCTGGTAAAAAGTCTCTCTCAGTGCTTATCATCCCCTATGATGTATTGAAAAGGCACAACAAGGTCTCCACAGAGCGTTCTCTTCTCCAGACCAAACCACATCAACTGTCTCAGCCTTTCTTCATAGGAGAGGAGTTAGCCCTCTCATAATTTTCATGGCCTTGTCTGAACCTGCTTGAACAGGTCCGTGTCTGTCATGTACTGGGCACCTCAGAGCTGGAACGCTGAACTCTGGGTGGGGAGGTGGGCTGGGGTAGAGGGGAAGAATCACCTCTCAGCCTGCTGGCTGTGCTTGTTTTTATGTAGCCCAGGCTGCAGGACAGCTTTCTGGGCTGCAAGTGCATTTTACTAAGTCACGTCTAGTTTTCCATCTAGCCATGTATCCAAGTCCTTTGCTGCAGGGCTGCTCTCAATCCATTTCACTCCCCCACTCTGTACTGATACTGAGTAGGTTGCAAGTAAAGCTCAATAAATATACATGTGAAGTCCCCGGTAAACTCCATCTCTGGACTACTTTCAGTTCCCTTTTCAAATCCATTATTTTAAGTATATGAAACATACCAGTCCAGGTCAAGAACACTATACTAGGGTTTATGCTCCATTCTGTTGTTCCTTCAACATACACGTAATCCATTAGTGTGGCTAGCAACACACTTGGATTTTTTTTGTTCAAGATGAATGGTGGTCAACTCCAGTAAATTTAGCTTTATGTAGCAAAAAATGATCTTGCCTGGCCTCAGGACAAACCTTCTCTGTAACCCTTAGAGAATACATTTGGGTCATTGAAAGGTACAAGGTACATTGACTACAAACCCTGGGACATACAGTTGCTAGAATCTCCTTGTATCTGTCTGCATATTGAAGTTACCATTGTCACCTTCCAGCCACCTGCCCCTGCCAAGCACTGTTTCATAACCTGTTTATTCTGAATGTAAATGTGTGCGCTGCGTAACCGCTGTTAGTTTGTACTGCGTTTGTCTGTTAAAATGTGGTGTTAAGTGAATATTGATTTCTGAGCATAGGTTAACAGTCTACAATCAATTGTGTGCAAGAGTTGCCTCACCAGCCAGCCAACATTTTCAAATAGCCAGAAACTCAGCTCAAACAGCTTCTCCATGCACACATGTAGAGCCCATTGCTCATACTGAGAGCCAACAGATCTGAACAATACTATACACATCCAAACAAGATTATAATCCTGAACAGAGGCAGAGTAGCTGAGTATTTTTTTTATCCTGTGTTTTATCTGTTGCCAGGGAAGCACAGTCACTGTCAGACACCTTATTACAGAATCTTACATTGTCATGTGTATCAAAGTAATTATCCTCCTGCAGTGGTAATATTTACATTTCTAATTCCAGACTTCTGTGTATTTCCTAGGCAGGTAGAGCAAAGAAATCATGCATGCAGCAGCATCATCTCCTCTGTCACACAGAAAAGCAATGTATTATTTACATGCAGTAGGAATAAATATGTTTTCTTAATGAACAGGTGTACTAATGCTGATATTTCTCATTACCTACTGAAATGTAGCTATTTGGAGCAAGAGACAGCACTGTTTCCACATATTTGCCACCATTAGTTAATAAAAATAGAGTCTGTGTACCCTTAATATAGTATGTACATTAGACCATCCTCCATATGGTGGGACTTAGAAATGTATCAAGATTCTTGACTGTAATGTAATAGCATCTGCCATCTCTGGAAGTTAATGGAGAGTGACAGGGAAGAAGAAAATGTTATTATTTTCACTATTCCACACAACAGAGAGAATATTTGTGAGAATAATGGAGTAGATTTCTGAGTGATCTGTACCACACACAATGCAGTACTGGTACACAATATACTGCATTGATCTCCCACTCATCTCTGCAGTGATCTTTCCTCTTTCCCAAATTTAGTGCTGTAAAACAGATTGATACGGAAAAAGGGATTAGCATTTTCTTGTTCATGTCTAGGGCACTAAATTCCTACTAAGAAGGTTATTGATTGCAATTGCAGTCTTCTGTCATATCCTGCATTTTACAGGAAAATGCTTGACACTTGGACAAATCATACTCTAGACTGAAATTGAAACAAAACATGTCAGTTTGTTGTTTTGTTTTTTTTTCAAGTGTCCTGTTCCTTTTTTAATGCACCTTTATACACACAGCTGCCTCTTAGCTTGTTCATCAACAACTGCAAGCAAAATTCACTTCTAACTACACCTTCATTCACAGGTACTCACACTGTTGTGAGTACAAACCCATTTTCACTTAGACTATTCTAACACCTGATCTCCATATATCACAGTTTTTCAACTACACAGCATATATGCATGCACAACTTAACTGCTACTAGAAATGTTGTGCCAGTATCACTGTCAATTCCATTCTGTCAGCACCATCAATGCTCCAAGACTGGCACATTTCCTAAACCCTTTCAGAACAGCTTACTAACCATACTGCAGGGCAATTAAGACACCCCCCCCCATCAGCTTCTGTTCCCAAAAAGTGGAAAACAACATCCTGTGAGCACCTATGGTCTCACAAAAGATAATCCACAAAACACAAAATTAATCCAATAAAAATTCTCTATCCAGACAGTCTTAAAAATGAGCATTCAGCAAGCATATAGGAGGAGGGAACCTTCTAATTACTGTAATGTAGATTATTTTTTAAAGAGTAAAATAATGTGAGGTCTGACTAATAAAATTTATCATGTAACTCTAGAAGTCTTCTGCCTTCCTTTGCATTTCATAGAAGCTACACTCCTTGTCTCCACTGCTGGAGGCAATATGGAAGAGAAATGTAAAGAACAGAGTTAGAATCTCTTACAAAGCAATCTTAACGTTTACAGATATCACTCACTGTCAGGTACTTCAGGTGTGGCTTCTAGAACTCTGATAGAGGCCTAGGTCTCTCAGCGTCATCTAATGTAGCATTTACAAAGGGCATTCATATAGTCCTCCAGCAGTGAGCTCAGCCAACTGTTAGATAAGTGGTTTCTTGTGACAAGTGGGAGAACCAATTCACATTTCTTGCCCGAGGTCATAAGCCAGATGATGCCAGAGATAAACCTTGATTTTGCATGTCCCAAAATAGTGTCCTTTCCTCATTCAAATAATTCCCACTGCCTCCAAGAAATTCTATGTTTTAGTAAAAATCAAGTGGCTGCAGTTTTCCTTTTAGAAGGGGGAAAAAGATGTTATTGCAGATGATGAAAAACTAAAGCACTGTTGGTTTCAAACAGTGATTCCTGGCTGCAGATATCTGGCACACCTCTCTCAAAATCAGCTGACAATAAAAGGTAACTTCAATTGATAGGAAAGGGCTACGGGTTCAGCATCTATAAAGAATGAAAGTATCTTTTTCAATACATCCTAAAAATCATGTCATTGATTTGCCAAAATGGTAGGCAGCTTTACACAATAAACTACACAGAATAAAAAGGAGAATTGTCAAAGTAATCTTTGAGGTGCCCATGAACCAGGCAAAACTTTTGGGGACAACAGTGGAAAAAGAGGAGCTCTACAGGATAGTTCAGCACTGCTATGGAATCACAACTCGCAGCTATTCCACAGCTGCTTCCCCCACTGAAACAGATCCTGGTAAATACAATCAGAGGCTAATCATTTCTACCCCAGGGACTTTGTGGCTGAGCCTTTTTTCATTTGAGGCAGGGTCTGTTGAGCCCGAGCTTGGTTAGTCTCTAATGGAAGCTCTTCTGATAGGTGATTAGCTCTCCTCCAGGAAGTGACTTGGTGTTTGGGTTTCTTGCAAACCCCAGGGTTAGCAGAGGTCGGGATGCTGCACTTTCTCCAAGTGCCTCCATGAAAATAGCCACACATACTTTCCATTTACAGCTGATCACCTCCATTATCCCCAAGCTAGGAGGAGATGATCAGCAATTGTTAAGTGCTTGAATCAGACTAATAGCTCACTGCTAATTCCGCCAGTAATGGGAATCTAAATTCCTGGTAAACAAACGGGCTGCTTTTCACACACAGGGATGAATGCCAAAAGCCTAATATTAGAGCTCTGGAACTAAAGCTTTTAGAGCAATCCTGTCCACTAGAAGATGTTTAATGACATTACATACTAAATAATTAGAAAATGAAGGCCCGCTTGGAATCAATGGGTTACTGTCTAATTAAGATGACAAAGGGGCTCTACCCTTTTTTAAACAAGTTTATACTAAAATGGTGTACCTGATAAATGGCTCTGATAACTATGTCTTTACCTTTGGGCAGAACAAGCAGACATTAAGCTAGCACAAAATAATTGTGTGATTTTTGGCTCATCTTTCTTCCCATTGGTCCCACCTGTTTTCCTGTAAGGCATGTGATTCAGCTGTTCCTCCCCCATCAGGTGACAAAATTTATTAAGCAACACTCCAATCACTTATCCTGATGTAGAGCAAATCATCTTTGCCTTTGCTTTACTGTACGGCCAGAATCACAGAGTTCACACCACGAGATGCTTGAAGAACTATGTACTGGACCCTCTAGAAGCACTTTTCAAGAAGAATTGCTAGTGAGCCTGAGAGCACAAGAGAAGATTATTTATATACAGAGATAACTGTAAAAAGACTGAGAAATGTTCTACTGATAATATGGCTGAATCAAAATTGATTAGTAAATCACATGACATCCTTATCTCCAAATTGAAGAGACAGAGGTTTGAAGGGTGGACAAATTGGTGGATAAGGAATTGGCTGGATGGATGTAACCAGAGAGTTGTGGTCAATGCCTCATGTCCATACAAGGCTGAGAAAAGTGCCACTGTACTCTCCTCCCTTTCACCTTTTTTTCCCCCACCAGTCTAGTATGTAAATGACTTTCTTCAATATAAGTTTGCCCATTAGATACTGATATTATAGGTCACTGAGTTTCACCACAAGAAAATGGAATTTCTTTAAACATCTACATACAGTTACTTGTTCTCCAGTTTTCCAAACCACCAGCTTCTTCCTTTTTTTTCCCCTCTCCCTAAAGAATCTTTTGATTAACTGAAGTCAATTTTGCTAAGTGCTAGTGGCTCTAAGAAGCTTGTTTTGTCAATGATCCCCAGGGCTCCATTATGTTTTCAGGGCTACAAAACAGGAATTGCTCAGTCTTTCTGTAGAAATGTGAGATTAGCAGCTAATTCTTCCAGCCACAAACTCTCTGGATTTCACACCCATCATTCCAAATCAGAAATGTGATATGATATGTTATGATAGTTCTACCAGAAACCAGCTAAGAGATCTCCCATCTTTTTTTCTCAATTTTAATCCATTATTGTGCAAAAATTTTAATGCACAAGGAATTCAGTTCCACCAATACACTACACAACCAATTGCAATGCTACTCCCACCTGGGAGCTGCAGAGGTATCACAACAGAAGCTCTGTCATGCACTGAACACTTCATTTTCAATATGCAAATACAAATCACAGTGTAAATGGAACTAATACAGAACTACAAATCACAGTGAAAATGTCAGTTTTATATACATTTTGAATACAGAAAGGCCCTGAGAGAAAGACTATGACTTGTCATGAAGCAATTTACTAAAATATTTAGATTAATATCTGAGCTGTTTTAGTCATACTGTGTAGGACATAATAGTCCCTCTACAAGCT